CAGTGTTATTAAAAATATATAAAATGTAACAATAAAATATATACGAACCGAAATCGGGAAATACTCACAAACACACACGAATGAACTTTACATATTGAAACACTTGTGGGGAGTTTAAATCAATTTATTCACAAAAACTACAAAAACTTTACTGGATACGTTATTACAATTCTACATCACTATAGTCTTCATCCGAAGAACTGTCATCATCCCCTGGTGTTATAATTATAGGGTCAACCACCTGATCGACCAAGTTGTCCATTTCCCACATTTTATCTTCCTCTTTTAAAACATGCTGGATTGCTTTTTGCCAGTTTTCTGATGGGATTTCCATAATGGCTTGATCAAACAATACCTTGACATCTTTCATTTTAAATGTGGTATTGTGCCTTGCAACATATCCTTTAACTTGTGCCCATATAAGTTCTATGGGATTTAATTCGCAATGATATGGCGGTAGGCGTAGCACAGTTACTTTATACTTTTCTGCTACATCTTCTACGGCATATTTTATGAAGCGAGATTTATGTTGTTTTACTACGGCTAGTAGTTCCTTCTTTATTGAATTCGTCTCAAACTGAATACCTTTATTTGACAGCCAGTTAATAATTTCTTGCTTTCTCCAAGCTGAAGTTGGTACCTTCTCTATTCGCCTTGAATAGTAGCTTGCATTATCCATAACCACGACCGAATCAGCTGGAAGAAATTTTAACATTTCCCCGAAGTAATCTTCGAAGACATCCGAATTCATGTCCTCATGATAATCTCCCGTCCGACACGACTCAAAGCTTAACAAACCTTCTTTTAAAAATCCTTCTTCGCTTCCAATGTGAGCAATTATAAGCCTCTTCCCTTTTCCCAAAGGCACTTTAATACCCGTCGAAAGGCCTTCTATGAAAGCTTGACGAGCACTTGTTACATTTTTATCTTGCCACATTTTTTGGACTATATAACCTTCGTTTATCCACGTCTCATCAAGATAAAAAATTTTCTTGTGCTCTCTGCGGTACTGTTTTATAGTTCTCAAATATTTTCGTCTCCAGCAAATGATTTCATCACTTTCCAGTAATAGTGCCTTTCGATTGTGCTTTTCCCAGGAAAAATTCATACTTTTTAAAGTTTTCCATAAAAGTTTTCTGGATATCAAAGGAATATCGTTATCTTGGCTTATCTCCATTAGTATTTTGTCAAGGGTGGGTATTTCCTTTTTAAAATAAAACGAATGAACTTTTCTTCGAATGTCACGTTTGGTGTCTTCACCTAAGATTTTTATTGGTCTTCCTGATTTTCTCTTGCATGGACTTAACTGGCCTGATATCTTTCTTTCTCGCAATAATTTAAAAATCGTGGACTGTCCAATTCCAGTCATTCGGGCACATCGCTCAACACTTTCTTGCACAGACAAACTAGGGTGATCGTGTTTTATGCAATCATATACATTTAAAATTATAACTTTTTCACTAACAGATAGCGGAGAATTTTTTACACCTCTTTTCTTTGGAGTAAATGTCGCCATTTTATAACTTTTTCACTATTTCTATATCACAATATTACTGTACGTTTAATTGGTGTAGTAACAATTACTAACTCCAGTGGCGTGCCGTGACATTAGAAGAAAGGGATGCAAATTAAAGGAAATGATAAAAAGACTTACTAACCTTTTTACTTGTAGTGCAGCTCTATTCTTCTATCAACCTTGGCAAACTCGTTTATCACAGACTCATAAAAACTGGGATTTTCAGACATTTCTTTAATAAGTTCTTTTTCAATTGATAAAATTGCTAAGTTAGCTAGCCTCTCCTCACTTGTGGAATGGAATTCTGACAAAGTTTTTAATACGCTTTAGTACAGAAAAACTTCGTTCTACAGACGCACTTGTGGCAGGTATTGTCATCACTAAGTCACATAATTTTGAAACCTCACTATATGCTTCATCCAGTTCAGTTTGTTTAAGAAATGTCAGCATTTTAGAACTAGTATCAGTTTGTATAGAGTGTTGAGAAGCATACAAAACGCACAGTTGGGAATGCAGGGAAAGAAGGTCAAAAAAGTTTGCATAATGTTTTTTTAGACAACTAAAAGCCTCATCCGGGAAACTACAGTCGGCATATTTATTGAAGTTGCATAACTCCACAAATCTTAACTCACAAAGGTTTTTAAATCTTTCTTTAAGCTGCTGGGAAATATTATCTATTATTTCACAAAAAAGTCGATTATAAGATATTTTTGTGTCGCCTACATCGTCAATTCTAATGCGTTTTCTCTTGGGTTCCATCTCTTCTAGATCGCAAGTTTTTTGCCACATGATATCAAATTGCTCCCTCTGTCTGTTGATTTGGACTTCGAATTCGTTAATTTTTTTAATACAAAATCCGATATCATTTGATTTAGTCTGCAATACATCAAATAAAATGTCTGTATAAGGAAATATTTCAGAAAATACTTGAAGCAAAAAATTAAAATCAAAATCTCGTTTGACTAATTCCAAATAACCTCTTGAGGAATTCACAGTTTCAGGGTCCCAATGGTCTTTATGCTCCAAAATGCTTTCAAATAACTCTATTAGGGATTGCCGATATTGGGAAACTGTTTTTACTAACCTCCCATTGTAATTCCATCTGGTGGGAGCTGCTCGAGGGAACCTTTTCTGAAGAATGACATCTAAAGCATGTGTTCTTTTGGAAGATTTAGAAAAAAAAGCAGCCATTCCACTCAAGGTTTGGAAAAATACCTTGCAAGTCTTATTGAGTGCGACTGATTGCGCTAGAACTAAATTTAGCCTGTGTGCAAAGCAGTGCACAAAAATTGCATTTTGAAACCTCTCCTTAACTTTGGTTTGAAGTCCTCCGAGGTGCCCAGCCATTACGGCAGCTCCATCATAACTTTGAGCGACAAGTTTGGAACCACAGTCCAGTTCCTCAACTATATTACAGACATGTCTATATATACCTTCTGCCGATCTATCTGCAGTTATATCCAAAAATCCCCAAAATCGTTCTTGTATTTCACCATTATTTTTGATGTAACGCAGAACAACCGACAATTGACTCAAATTCACGATATCTGTAGTTTCATCTAGAACAATGGAAATAAATTGTGCTTCTTTTATTTCTTCTTTGATTTTTTGCAGAACAATATCTGCCACAGACTTGATCAAATCGTTTTGTATCCTATTCGAGGTACCTCGAAATACAGTAGATTGATCTAAATGACTTTTTAATAGTTCGTCATATTCAGATAAAAAATTTGCTAAATCCACAAAATTTCCCCTATTTACAGATTCATAATTTTCATTATGCCCTCGGAAACTAAGTTCATGTTCTCCAAGGAAACATGTAATATGAATCAGTCTTTTTAATATTTCACGATTTTTTTTTACTTGCTCATTATGCATGCGGTGACTAACTTTAAGCTGATTATCTAGAGCGTGATCAATTCGGGTTTTCCCAAAAGTCTTTTCTTTTATAACTGCTTCTAAATGCGTTTTACTTAAAATGTGTCGTTTTATAGATTTGTGCAAATTATTTAAATCTGAGTAACCCGTACTATTCCACACGTTTTTATCACTTATATTAAATAATATACACGGAAAACAAAATAATCTTGAGAGAGTTTTACAACCTGTCAACCACTTAAAGGAATCGTATATATTTTTGTTAAAATAACGTGTACATTTCGTCGACTTGGTTTGAATTTCCAGTAATGGTTTTGGCCTGCCTACAGATATAATATTACACTTTTCTTGAAAGTTAAATTTTGAAAATCCACATTTTAATAAATCGCACACAATACAACACTGTCCATTACTGTTTTCCTGACAGGATTGAGAACTTGTACACGGTTGGGGTAAATCTGAATTCATTTCGGAAAAACTACTTAAATTATTATATATACATATACGTAAAATGAAATAAAATATATACATATACGTACAATAAAATTAAAACACGTGAAACACAGCAAAAACTACTCGAATTAATATAAATGCAAAACACGCACTGTATTACAATGTCATATGCGAACTACTCCAGTCGCCTTGCCTATGGTAAGCAAATATAATATTGCATCCAGTATTCTTAAAAATGCCGGTCCAAATCTATAAAAATTGGGCCCGGGCCCCGAGAGTCGACGTGTGCTGCCGAATTGAAGTGATGCTAGCGCGATCAGAATGGTATTGGCTGGTATTGGTTCCAGAAAATGCATCCAAAGATATATTACAATCACCGTGCGCTGTTGCCAGTAATTGCATTCGTAAAGTAATTTAATGATTTCTTGAAAAACGTATTTTATCTTTAAATATTTGAATTATTACAAATCAATTTAAAATATGATTATGTAGTTTTAATTACTGATAATAAATTTTAGATTTTAGGGGATGCAATGCATCCCTTGCATCCATGCACCGCACGCCCCTGACTAACTCGAATGTCGAATGTCGAATGATAAATAATAAAATAAAAGAGGGATTATAATAAAAGTGTAAGTAAAACCTCATTACGCGTTTTTAGTCTTCATGTTGATTTATTTTAGTTCTTAGTAATATATTAGGAGGTGCGTCATACCCTTATCAGTTTCTTCTAATGCTTTTATTCGTTCAGTAAGGAAGTGAATTGTTTTTATAAATAAAAATGTAATTAGCTTTAATGACCATATAATGGAATACGAGTTTGAAGAATAAGTTAATCGAAAAATTAAATAAAATTGGTTATCACAAAATATCCAAAATATGATATTTTGAGGTACATCAATTTTTGACGACGAAGTTGACATCCGTCCATTTGCCTACGCCCATGACGACACCGAAATTCAGGCAAATTTTTATGACACTTCATGATTTATTACTCTACACTCATTTGAAACCAATTATAATAATCTAATAACAATCATTAAAAGTCATAATACCGAATTTCATTTTTTTATGAAAATGTCTTTGTTTTCATAGAATGGCCCTATATCCAAATTTGAAATAAAGAATATGTATTTAACTAAATTGTTATTACCTATGTGTGATCATTTCCAAATCGTACAAAAACTTCAACGTTTCGATAATCATAGGCCGACTTTCCTCTGAACTTGAAACGTAGGGATGTTCCTTCACATGTTCCAAAAAAAATTGGGTATCCAGCAACCCCAACCTTATACATTTCATCAATGAAACAATATGTTTCCTTCTATTTTCGGTATCGTGATCGATCCATCTTAGGATTACATCCCATACAGTTTCTTCACTTTTTACGTTTAACTCATCAGAGTTTATAATATCTTGAATCTGATTCAAAGATAGGGATAAAAGTTCATCGCTTTCAACGGCGATCTGTGGAAAATTTTTCATTATATATTTCCATGTCTCAATGGCTAGATCTCGACAAAAATGATTTTGAGCGAAACTCAAGGTTCCTATACAATTTTTAGGTGTAAGATTTTCTTCTAAAAATTCACAGCATATCTCGAGAACTCCTAGAATGCTTAAGTAATCCGCTGTTATCAGTACTGAGTATACATTATCTTCATTAATATCTAATTTTCTTAAATATATGTAAACCAACAGTTTGTGTAGCATTTCTGACGTAATTCCTGATAAATGTACTCTATGTTTCTCTCGATTTTGTAAAGTTGATGTAAATAAAGCCCTGAAAAAAATATGTATAAAATTTGTATTTGAAATATTAAAAAATTATAGAAAGTGCAAGGATAACATGCAAATACAGATGGAAATTAAAAAAAAAAGTAAATATTGTGCAAATACACTCACTATTCAAAAAAGAACGCAGCGCAAAAAAATTTGGTCAAATTCAAAGTAATTCAGTTTTTTAATTTAATGTTTTGATGACTCTTTTAGCGCACTATGTAAAAATTTATAAATTTTAATTTAGTATAGTGAGTTTTTTAATAAAATTTTGTATTTGACTTACTATACGGGGTTAATAGAAAGGTGGTTTTTTATCCTAAGTTTGAAACATCTTGTGGAATAATTCCATTAGGGGATTTTCATAAAACCTTATGTTTCGGTTGCAACTATGTATCAAGTACATGGCTATTATATATATATATATATATATATATATATATATATATATATATATATATATATATATATTATGATTTCAGTTGTTTTCCGGGTTTGACTCCGAGTTAAATAGTTTTGGTTTTTAGAAAAACCATTGTTTTGACGACGTTTCGGCATTTTTATTTTCATTTTTTCATTTTTAACACCGACAAAAAAATCGCAACCATATTACCAGCGGCAAAAACAAAAGTTGCATTAGAAAATCAAGGTGTATACAGAATCCCGTGTGAGGACTGCGATAAATCGTACATCGGACAGACAAATCAAAAGGTACAAGTAGACGCGAAGAACATCGAAACGCCATAGAAAGAAAACAGAAAACTTCATCTCTAGCACAACATGCCATACACACAGGACACAAGATAGAACTTAAATGGAACAAACAATGCTAGCCAATATCGAAATAAGGCCAAAACGTGTAATCAGGGAAGCCATAGAGATCGAAAACATCCAAAAAATTTTAATACCAGAGATAATGCCCAAAGACTCCAAATACGTGGAAACCAATTCTGCAGAAAAAATAGAAATTAAAATAGCGAAGAAGATCCCGCCCACTCTTCGCACAGGACCGATCACAAGAAGTGCTACAAGGTATAAAACTCAACGTGCAGCTACCGAGAAATCAGTTCTCCTGAAAGATCAAGACGAAGCAGAACTAATCTGACTTGACAATGGCAAATGTGACCTTGCCGAAACGTCGTCAAAAACAATGGTTTTTCTAAAAACCAAAACTATTTAATGCGGAGTCAAACCCGGAAAACAACTGAAATCACATATAGCTCCCGCGGAATTTCTAATCCAATATTATATATATATATATATATATTTATATATATATTTATATATATATATATATATATATATAATGATTTAAATGATATGATTATGACTCTATCACACTTTTTAATTCTCTTATCTCAGGGATATATTCGTGCTTCAATATCTATGCATTACATGTGAAAGGTAAGGTCCAAAGAATACGGAGTAATAAAAAAACCACATATATGATATATATTGAAATAAAAATAATGAACTAAAATTCACACTCAAATGTTTTCAATAAACAAAATCTCATATAATGATTCTCAAAATTTTGTTCTACGTACGTGAACCTTCAAAATTAATGGTACAAAACAATATTAGTTAAAATCTCAAAATCCCAATTATTATTCTAAATCTCCTAATCAAATATTTATATCTTTTCTAAAGTAAGTGTAAAAATTGTGTTATCAATAAAAAAAAACTGCAGAAAACAAAACTATCTCTCTCTGATGATAAGTGGTCCAAATCCTTGTTCCTTGTAGCCTATACTATCTACTCTTAGCAGCTCCCTAGGTAATCAGCAATCTTACAACAGATAGTTGCAATATTGTTCTGAAGCTATTTTCTTGTGGCATTGTAAATTAATTACTATTAAACTGGGAATAAGCCACAATTAAAGATAAAATTACGTTTATTGACGTTTCAATTTTCACTTCGGAAATCGTTCTCAAAATACAAACAGTAAATTAAACAAATTTTGTTTTTTGTTACATAGTGAAAAATTCTTCTAATAATTTAATTTTATCTGACTCATTTATATTGACAATTCAGACATACATTATGCATTTTAAAGTAGACGACTTTAAAATGATATAGCCAATATTGTTGAGTTACGCTCTTGGGACGACTTTATTTATAAGATAGTTCATTCGATTACATGAAATCAACTTTAACTTGAGAATATCCGCCAGAAAAAAAAGCATAGCATGTAATTCGTCTTTAAAAAGATAAACACATGAGATGATGACAGTAAAATTCTCCTGTTAGTAATTCCATAGTAAATTATGAGGGAAAAACAGGAAAAAAAACCTCATAATACTATCCCGACATTGTAAGTATTTGTTCGTGAATTTAGTTTACCTTCAACAAACATCAAAATTCTGATTTTATATGTTACGTTATTTAAAAAACATAAATGATGTATCCTCTACATGTTACTGACTTACTAATACTGGTATTTTCTTATTAATAACTTCCTCTTTCAATATTGGTAACCAGATCCTACTACATTCTGCCGAGGAATTTGCATTTTTATCTTTAATTGTGGCTTATTCCCAGTTTAATAGTAATTAAAATGTTTCAAGTTTATCGTCCTTAATGATCTCCTTCAAATGCACGAATCGTTCAAATTAGGCTAGCCTCTTCTTCTCTCGATAAACTGAATCTCTCGTTGGCCTGAGTGAAAAATGACTCTTGGAATATCTTCTCTTTACGATAAACTGAATCTCTCGTTGGCCTGAACAGTGACTCTTGGAATATAAGTAGAAAAATATGACTTACAATCTTTTACTGGATCAGCTTCTGTCAGATACACTAACTACACGAAAACTCACAAACTTTCACTGCTACTGCTTCCTACCTCTGGGAAACTACCCGAGAATAGCGGCCCTTCGGCTTGTACCCTTGAAAACCAACTGACTATCCTTTTTTCTTCCAAAACTAACTAACGTCTCATTCTCAAACCAACTATCCCACCTTTTTCAATTTTATCCAATCAAAACGCGTCATACATCTCCCATTTCTTCATTTCGATCACAAACAAATTTTTACCTACAATTATAAAATTTCCTAAAACTTATTTACAACTAATCTTTTTCTACAAATTTTTATGAACTAACAAAAACATATCTTTCTAAAATCTATTCTGAACTATTTCCACTTCGGAAATCGTTCTGTGGAAATTGAAACGTCAATAAACGTATTTTTATCTTTAATTGTGGCTTATTCCCAGTTAAATAGTAATTAATTTAAAATGCCACAAGAAAATAGCTTCAGAACAATATTAAAAAACGTACTGTTTATTTATTTCGGTAGATGGTTGTGACGATATTCGATATGATAAACTAAGATACGGCGATCGAGGTATTGAGGTCGTACTCGTTCCTCAACGCAGAACGAGTACTTGGACAGGGATAAGGATGTCTACCTAGTTCAACGCACCAGATTAAAAAGAATACGCCAATCTCGTTCAACACACCAGATTGACGCAGCCAAAGGAAGGATTGTCACCCTCGATGTTTTGTATTAATTTGTAATACGACCATGGGGGTTTTAATGAACAATGATAACAATAAGAAAACATAAAAAAACAACTTAAATGTAACTTAATCTAAGTATGCAAATAACAAAGAAAAAATACTAAAAAATAACTTAATATTTTGTATTTCCTCTCCTATCATTTGTAAATATTTAGATTACTTAAAGTGGTGCGTTAATTTTGTCCAGGAGTTTATTATAACCTGCTGTGATAGACTATCGGCCAAAAAGGATAGATAAGTTAAATCAGGATGAAATGCACAATACCATAATTAACGAGATATAGGTGACCATTTAAGATTTTGCAAGAAAGAAAGAAAGTTTTAACTCGATATATTACAAAAAATGCAATATTTTTATTTAAATACTTACCTAAAATAAGAACTACAAGCACATAAGATTGCTCTGTGTACCGGTACTTCGGATCCGTCATCCAGAATTAAAGTAGCATCACAAAGTTGATTGTTTTCTTTTAACTCAAACAGTGCTTGCATAGCCTGCATACTCATACATCTTCCCGAACGAACTTTCATGGAGTCTTCGTCGCAATTGGATTCTGATTCGCCCATTTCATTTTTGTGAGCCAGTTTGAAACACTATTTTCAATTAAGGATTAGACACAAATAATTTAGTTATTTAATAAATGAATATAAACTGAATGAAAATGGAATGAAAAGTCAATTTGAAAGATTGCAATAATGATGACAGCATAAAGTTTATTACTTAGTTACCGTCAAAAACTTGGACAATTATATTGTCTAACCTACACATATATAATAATTAAATTAGTGATTAGTGTAGTAAAAAGGCATTAGTAATTACACAGTGTGTAACAAAAAGCACATCATAAAATAAACCATATATATTCTTCTTCTTCTTCTGCATGTGCCTTGTCCGTTCCGAACGTTGGCAACCAACATGGCTATTCTTACTTTGTTTACGGCAGATCTGAATAGTTCAGCAGATGACAATCCGAACCATTGCCGCAAGTTTTGGAGCCACGAGTGTGTTCTCCTCCCTGGACCCCTTCTGCCCCTAGACTCCTAGATCATATATGTTCTGGAACCAAAATACCATGTCTATGGCCATTTCACTACGGTTAGTAGGATAATAAGCATGGCGTCCACCAACTGATAAGATTGAACTTGCTAAAAGTCAAATAATTTCATGGTAACTGGGAATAGTGATAAAAACCTATGCAACTGATCCGTTCATTTCATTGTTGATGTTTGAGTAGTAGTATATTGTACGTCCCAAGCTAACTAACAAATTTTCTTAAGAAATATATCTAAAATCTTCTTTTCAATCCAAAACTATATGATAATTTTCCTGAACTTGAAGTGCTTGATAAGGTAAATAGGAGCTTTTTATTTTATATTTTTGATTTTTCAATCTAATTAGTAGTACTCATGACATTTGGTTTAATAGTATCAATTAATAGTACTTATGACAAGTACTCCACAATCAACTCAAAGAAATCCTGGAAGGTAAGAACATTGACACAAGAGACATGCAAATAATATTAAATCTGTAGTGGAATCAGCGAGCTAATATAAAGGCAGAAGACGAAACATCGGACGAAATAGAAATACGTAGAGGAGTACGACAGGGTTGTATATTGTCACCGCTTTTGTTTAATATCTACAGCGAACAAATATGCCAAGAAGCTCTCTCACATGCAAACGAAGGGAAAATAGTAATGGAGAAGTTATCAATAACATTCGATATGCTAACGATACTGTGATAATGGCAAGAACAGTGGAAGATCTACAACATCTAGTTTAAAGTATGAATGAGATATGTAATAACTACGGCATCAGGATGAACGTCAAAAAAACCAAATATATGACATTCAGTAAGAATCCAATTCATGAGACCAGTATCACAATAAACGGTACCTAACTTGAAAAAGTTAGCAAATGCAAATACTTGGGAACCCTCATTAATGAAACAGGTGACCAAAATCACGAGATAAAAAGACGTATTGAAATTGCCAGGTCTACCTTTATGAAAATGAAAAAAATATTTTGTAATCGTGATATTAATATTCATCTACGAACTAAAATGTTAAAAACTATTCAGTACTTTGCTTTACGGTGTTGAGGCATGGCCTCTTAAACAGAGGAATATTAAAAATCTTGAAAGCGTTGAGATGTGGTGCTACCGCCGTATACTAAGAATAAGTTGGGTGGATAGAATTACAAATGAAGAGATAATACGCAGAATAATAACGATCCAGAAGTTATTATGAATATAAAAAAAAGAAAACTTGAATACTTAGGCCACTGATGAGAGGTCAAGAGTACACGTTCCTACAAAATATAATGCAAGAAAAGATCCAAGTAACCACTAGATCCACTAACAATTATTCAAAACAGCAGTTAATAAAATAAGAATCGCCATAATGATATCCAATCTCCGATAGGAGAGGCACTTAAAGAAGAAGATGACATTTGCAACAATGAAGGAGAACGATGAAGAAGTGAAAACCAAAAAATCACTATTTACCCACTTATGGAAAACCTACTGACCACAAGTAAGTAAAAAAATTCACTTTTGTTCAATTTACTTTTCTACTAACGTAGCACATTTACATAAACGTACCTATTTTTTTTTAGTGAGAATGACAAACGCACTAACGAATAATAAAAACAGAGTAGAAAAAAATCCATACAAAACTTTACAAATTACAATCTTTAAAAGTAAATTTAGCTTTAAATGCCATATCCACATGCCTGTAGCCACAACCGGTCGTGAATTTAAAGTTCCGAGAATTACTTTGCGTAATGTAATATCCGGAAAGTCTCCAAGAGATTCAAGCACTGTGAATTCGAGTCTCACTTGGGAAGGACCTCCTAGTTGAATGGTACTAACTTTTGCGAAGATGGGTTTTCCAATTTTTAAAGATTAAGTTCAGTACAAAACCTTGTTCAAGGTACAAATATTAAAACTCCTTTTGCCAATGATTGCTTGGACAAAAAATGGTATTACAGCTTCCTTAATAGTACAAGCAACTTTCCCGAAATGGTTCGACGAGATTCATATGAATTTAAGCGATATGAGTGCTACCAGTAGATTAGATAATTAGTAGAGTATATGGAACATATTTCTGTTTAGATCTGAACTTCATTAGATAAGAAAAATGTAACTAAATGACCGGATGGAAAGCAGCTCTTAAAGGTTGGAGGTTAGGGAAAAGTCCAAGAAGATGGATGCCTTCAGCATGGTTTTTTCAGTATTTTTAGAACATTTTTGAACTTTACCTAAAGGAGTCTCAAATATAGTTGTTCGCTTTTGTCTTTTTAGATGGGCATAAATCCAGTCTGACTCTATATTTATGTTGATATTGCAGGGGAAATCAAATAATATTAAGAGCATTCCCCCTAATGCTACTTATATAGTACCTTTAGAAGTCTGTGACTATTTTACAATGTGTCCTACCCAAAACAAAAGGAACCGCACTCAAATAAAAAAGAAAATAAGAATGCACGCCAAGTGTTGTCACTTTAAAAGAACAGGTAGACTAGGAGGAAACTGGTAGTAGTGGAAACAATGTTGACTTGATTTAAGCAAGTGTGTAGCGACAACATATAAATATGTTGGCAAAAGTATAGATAGATATCCTTTCATCAGAAACGTATAAATTACAATGCTTTGAAGAGTATCATAATGCAGCTAATAAAATTTTGTTTTATAAAAAATGACGTTTGCAGTATAGACAACGGTGACATTTTAAGAACTACACCAAGCCCATTACTCAGGAACAAGTTATTGTTCCTTCTTCTTTGTTGCGGTATGTAAATTAAAGCTTTCTTTGGCCATCTATCTTCTTTCATTCGCCTCACGTGACCTTACCACACTAGTTGTCTCGTTTCAATTCTGTCTACACTCAAATATACAGTATTTGTCCTCCTTCTAATATCTTCATTCCTGATATGATCTTTTTTGGATACACCACACTTTTTTGGATCTCCGTAGAAAATCTATTTCTACTATTATTCTTTTTATATTTTTTCTTGATCTGCCAAACTACTGCTCCATAAGTCATAATAGGCTCTACCAAGGTTCGATAGATCGTCAATTTCGTTTCTTGTCTAATATCTTTAGACCATAGTAGAGAGTTTAGAATGTTTACCGCTTTTTTCCCTGCTGCGTTCTGTTTTCGATGTCTCTTTTAGTAGTGCCTTTTTAGATATTCTAGATCCGAGATATCTATATTCATTACATGTTTTTGTGTTTGTAATTTCCAACTCTGGATCTTATTCATTATCTCCTATTTTAAGATACTCTGTCTTTGAGATATTCATATTGAGGCCTTATTTTTCATATTCTTTCTTTAGTTTTTTAAACACGTAGTCCATGTCTTCCTTGTTCTCGGACGCGACTAGTTCACGTTCGAGACGCATCGCCCCGCCCTTTATTTTTCCCGTTGGCCCTCTCTGACCTGGAAATCCCTAATCGCTACTTCAGAAAGTATAAAAATAGGCGATTTTCAGGTCAATCAAGTCAGTCCTTCACGGGCTCTCCGAGAGCTTAGTGCTCTCGGGGCTCTGCTTTCTTGTTTTTAGAGTTTCCCATACTCTGTGGCTGAGATGTTATTCTACTGCAACCTGGTATTTTTATTTCGACTTAACCTTTGTCATGTAAGAAATATCTTGCATTTTTCAAGGCAAGATACCAGAAGAAAACATTTTCGAGTCCATACCTTGAAAATGGACTTAAGTAGAGGAGCTATCGTTGATGTTTTCGAAGCCCTCTACAGAGCACCCGGAGGCAATAGAAGAGTTCAGACCGCTATTTGTTCATCCGCGGTGACATCCTCATCATTCGCTACGATTACCTGATCATCTGCGAAAAATAAAGTTGTTAGACATTTACCACCGCCTATGTCTATTCCCATTGCGGATACTTGTTTCCTCCACTGATCTAGCGATGATTGAATATATATTTCAAATAATGTTGGAGATAGACAACAATAATGTTTAAGCCCTTTTGTTATTGGAAATGATTCAGATATAAAGTTTCCTTCTTTAACGACACTTCTTGCATTTTTGTATATATTTGTGATAGCATCCACATACTCTCTACTGAGACCTACTTTCGTCAATGTTTAAAACAGTTTTTTCAAAGGTGCCGTATCGTATGCCTTCTGTAAATCTACAAACAATAGGTGGGTAGATAGATTCCTTGCCTTCCATTTTTCGATTACCTGCTGCAGAACGAATATACCATCAGTGCACGATCTTCCTGCACAAAATTTTTTTGTTCTTCTTTGTCTTCGTATTCTGATTCTATTCTGTCTTTTATTATTCGACCATAGAACCTTAGCTGATAACAGTTATTCCCCTATATTTACAGCATTTGTGTTTATCCCCTTACTTGAATATTGAGCTGATGTAGTATCCAACATTCCAATCATCAGGGATATTTTGTTCTTTTAAGCATTTGTTAAATAGTTCAACCAACATCTCATGTAATATTTTTAATACATACTTTACCAACTCAACTGGGATGTCTCCAGGTCCTACTGCTTTACTATTTTTCGATCTTTTGAGGATATCGCTTTACGGTTGTTATCTCAATTATTTGGCCAAATGTGAAATCATAAAAACTTTTTTAATGCTTTATACTGATTTGTGTTACCAGAAATGTATTTTGTTTTACCTATTTTTGTAGTTTAATAAGTATTTAAGCATATACATATCAACTTTTATCTCTATTTTTAACTAGTTTTTGGGTACACGTAGAAACAGATGGCCAAAAGCAGCGATTTATGATAGCAAACCGAACCTCCATTCCTAATTTCGAATAGTAAGGACTATTTCAGGGGGAACATCATTACAAATTAGAAAAATAATTAGGATAATAGACATATAATACAAACAGACTGACTCCTGCTATACAGCTGCTTTTCCCCAGTGCGACAAAGAAACCTGACGCAAAGCAGTCCCTGCATCTCTTTATAATGGGCTGGGTTCATCGGGTACGTGACCCTGTCAGTGGTCATTAGGTCACGTGTTCGATAAACCTGTCAAATTACAAAGTGATGCAGGTATCGGTTTGCGTCAGGTTTCTCTGTCTCACTAGGGGGCATGCGAATGTTATGTAGCACTCATTCTATTATATATCTATGAATAGGATAGGGTCATGGAATCTTGGAAGTATTACAGATAAAAATGTGTGGAAAAAAGAAGGTTTTAAGTTAGTGTCGTAAAGTTTTATTTTTCATTAGAAGAGGTTTTTGCCATCTCAATATCGTAAGTCTAATTTTTTTTATTTCTTTTTTTATTTGGCCCAATGGAGAGAAAAAAACATCAAAGACAATCAATTTTGTTGGAAATGAATATTGCAATTTTAGAACGCTTGGAAAAAGGAGAAGGATCGTATAAGAAATTCTATAATCTCTGCTACAAAATTAAGTGCCAAATTTTCATCTTATTCAAAGGATATATTATTAGAATAAACAGAAAGAGCCACTGTAATTTGGATTGAGGAACTAATTTAAAGAATAATTCTTATAAGTGGTTATTTAATCCAGGAACAAGCCCTTCGGTTTCATAAATGAATGAAACAGTCAGAGCCACCAACTTCCACTTCTCAAACTGGTAAAAAAATATTTTAGCTAGCAAAGGATGCCTAATCCGGTTTACAAAAAAAAATGCATTTTATAATATCAAGATCACAGGAGAGTACTATAGCAGATAAAGCAGCAGCAAAAATATTGTCACAGCAGCGAGCGAAAATGATTGAAGATGTGCTGATGAAGTATTTAACACTGATGAAATGGAACTATTGGAAAAATGCCTAACCATAGTTACATGGCTAAGGATGAAAAAACTGCAAATGAACATAAAGCAAGTAAAGATCGAGTAACATTATTACATACTTTGTAGCAATACATCAGGGGATCGGATGTTGAAATCGCTCTTAATAAATAAATCTCTTAGACCACGTGCTTTAAAAGGCATATGGCATAAGCAAAAAGATTTACTTTACAAGTAAAACTAAAAAAAGATTTAAACTAAAAGAGTATTGAAGAATTAAGCTATTTTAAACACGTTTTAGACAAGACAACTTTGGAAAACATCCACCTGCAGACGAAGTTTATAAATAATTAGTTTACTTTCAACAAGAATAGTAGTATAATTACTACTATTACAGGACACTAGGAAAGTTAAATACTTTTCTTCTCATTCTTTGATTGATTGATTATTTGACTGGGAACTCATTACTTAAGGAAAAAAGAAGTCATGACACATATTAACTGTTAACCACATATTTGACGTCGATTGAGAAAGTGGCAAGCAACTCACGAATTTGGGGTGCAGACAACTTTTCTAGAGGGACTAGGTGGAGATCTTGTCAGTAAGTAAGCTGATGGAACACTGCTGAAGAACCATAAAATTATGAGATCTCGTCCTTAAAAATAGATCTCACTTCGGTCTGCTAATGTCGATTATATCGTCACCAGTTCCAACTTTCGATTGAAATTGATGATCGCGGAATCATCAGCTGTGGGGACTTGTTACAACCCTTAGACACGTATTATTCTAAATCGTAAATATTAGACTCTTTAAAAGTTCAGCACAAATACCCTATCTATTCATGATGTATCTATCCATCATCAGCAAGACAAAAATAGCGTGAATATTTAAAGCGTAGAGTAAATAAAGTTAAAGGAACTGCTAAAAATCAGAGCTGCAGAACATATTACACAAAACAACTAACGATTTGTAATCGAAGAAACACATGCACTTAATAAGACATCATACTATTTTCCACAGATGTTCATAGAGAATATCACATAATTAAAAATACCTGAATAATTATAATAAAAAAAAAGAGCTTCCAAAACTATAAACTATAGAATTTGTCCAAACGCACCAAAAAATTTTAATACCGCTTATCACAACCATTGTATTCTAGAAGGAATACGATGACTAGAAAGAGCACTGATATTCGAGAAAGATCATTCGTGGTAGAAAGAAATCATACGGGACCACTATATGCTGTTCTTTCATCACCTTTTATTACATTCCCATTACCATTACATATATCACATTACCATTACATATATGACTGTAACTTTGAATAATAAAATGGTTCTACATCATATTATTTTTATCTATCTGGTATCGGCATGACAGAACAGAAGAAAAATAGGAGATTTGTGCAGTAGAAATACGTTAGATGGATAAAAAGAAAAGATAATACTGCCATAAGACTAGATACGATCTATAGAACTGAATATTAGGCAGTTAAAAAGACAAAATTACAATCGATGTTATATATTAAATATCACAAACACATTGAATCATCTTAGTAACTAAAACAAACTTAATTTAGAGCTACAAAAAGTCAAAATTAAAAGTAAAAGATATAAAACGATTAGCTTGTATAGAAGATCTATATTTTTTTATGACAGGAGCGACCGATTGGAAAATGGTTTAAAGAGCAAGAAACACAAAAGCAACAGTAGTCTATAAAACCTAAAACGATGTATTAAAATTAATAACATCAATATTTAATATAATATACTTACTCCTTTATGCAAAAACTGGTAAAATCCATCCACGAATGAAAATTTCCTAGTATATTTATCGAATATCCCAAAATAAGGGCCCACACCATCCATTTCTTTATTAATTATGGTAAAGAAGGATTTTTGTGGTACAATGAGCTACACACAAATAATTTCGTGAAAATTAAACTAACTCTTTACTCTGTAAAACGTTCAATTTGACAGATAAATAAATAAACCAGAACCCTTCAGTGGTGACGTTAGCGTACTTTCACATTACACGATTTCTCTCGTGCGGGAAAAAATCGCCCGATTTTTAATCGTGGTTTTGCTACTTTGCTACTCTGTCAATCAGAAACAAGAGGAAGTCGGGATGTTCCACACATTATTTGAAGATCTTAGAAGCGATGACCAAAAGTTTTTTTAACTACTTTCATATGTCAGTTCGCTCCTTTGATGAATTACATGGGAAACTGAAGAGTGTTCTTCAACGACAAAACACGCAGTTCCGAAACTGTATACAACCTGTTGAAATGCTGGCAATATCTTTAAGGTAAGCATTTAAATACAACTTTGTTTTCATACCGTTGTTTAAACGAAAATGCCATTGAAGTTAATACTATATTAATAAGTTTAGTGTTTTACGTGACAAATTGCTTCATCATTATCTTATATTATTATGTTTCTATATAGTGAAATAATATTGCAGTAGTAGGTAAAATAATAAAACCTTTTGAATCAGCAAATATACTTTATTTAATTTTAATCGGATACTTTAAAATAGACGGATTATGCTTAGTTTCAGTTTGTGAAGAGTCGCTGTAACAAAATCCCTGTAGGTACTGAGATGCGGATTCTGTATTCGGTTGGGATTGTGAATCTGATTGTTTAGGCGTTGATTGCTGTGTTGGCCTCGATTTATTTTGCTGTTCACGTATATATTAAGAAAAGTGAAGCTGTTGTACGCTATTTTGAACGTTGCCCGAAAAACTAGGATTTGCATATTGTTGAGGTTTAAATGGAGGTTGTTGAACATAGACAAATGCTTGCGGTTGGTTAACGGGAGATGGCTGAAGCATGTACTGAGGTTGTCGTTGATAAGATGGCACAGAAGAGGGATTGTTTGATAGAAGATGAGGACTTTCCCTTAGTTTGTTTATGTTTTCTATTACGTTTAACACCACCACTTGAAATTGAAGGACTTCACTGTTGGAATAGTTTGTCGAATGGTTGGAAAAGACGTATTTAAAATTAATATTAATTTGCTAGACCTCCTCAATAATTTGAAGTGAAAATACGTTTCTTATGAATTGTTAAACGTTATTCTAAATTATTGTAGAGCTTAACTGAATCCGAGATAATTGAAATATTAATATTGATTGGACTGAATAATAAAACAAGAACGCATTCTGAGGTGTAGAGATTATTTAATAAAAAGTATCCTGGCTGCCAAATTTCCAGTCTACTGTGAGTAGAATAGAGAATAAATTGCGAGAATTTGGAACTGTCACGCCCAGTTCCGCCAACACGATTTAAGTGAAAATTTTATCTTAAGAAATAATTCCACCAATTAGAAATATTTACTTAAGTACAAATATTTTTGCTTAAGCTTAAGTCACAGGATAATAAACCATCAGAATGCCCACTCTACTTGAAAAAATAAGTACGCTCATCTCGTTCGCGCAGACAGAATCAACCATGCTTTAGTCGGAACCAGTTCTGTTATTCAGCCCGGTGTGGTTAAAAAAAAGGTCGAAAAATGTTTCGCAGATATCTGAAGCTTTTAAGACATAGGTGGGGGTTACTAGATCACGAATAGATGAAAAGATACTCCTAATTTTACCTTGCGATTTTTTTTAACAACAATCTGATTTCTTGTCTATAAATTGTTTCCCTTATATTTTAAACAAACAATATTTATATCATTTTTTTATATCAAGAATATCTTTATTTCCCGTTTTTTAATTAAAATTGATAAAGAATTTACGGAGATATTTGCAAAAAAGCAGTTTTTTCACTAATTTATAAATTTTATTATTGTTTTATTAACAAAATAAAATGTTTTTTAAATTTATACGAAATTTCCCCCCGATTGGTCAACTAGTTAAAAGTTATTTAATTTGTTTATTCCTAATTCTAATTATTTAACTATTGAACTTGCCCTATGCATGATGCTAGACATATTTAGCAAATTTCATATGATTCTTTAAGACTTAAACTATCTCAAAAGTTAAATGCATATTGCGTTTTCATCTAAATTATTTACAAATTAAACGGTTGAAAAAGGAGTATGTTTTTTACTTATAAAGAATTGTAATACCTTCTATATTTTTCAAGCTACAGACTTGTACGTACAACCATTGAATAACTGATAAAAAAACTCACATTAAAAAATAAAAAACATAGCGAAAGAACGAACTTAGCGACTATTTTAAACAAAATCATATCTCCATTGTTTATAAACATTAAGAAGTCAAATTGCACAAATTTTGAACAAAAATCTAAACTTTATATTGAAGCTTATAGCTATAAAAATTTATCTAATTTTCGAATCTTAAAGCCCTTTGAAACGAAGGTACTTTCGAAAGATTAACATAAAAAAGTGGAGAGGATAACTGTGTCAGCTCCGTTTTCTTTTTCGACGGAACTTCAAATTGAAACACGTAGGAAAAATTTATATTATCTCAGTTTCTATTATAGTTGGAAGCCTCTTTTTTTATTCTGGGGTAGCTCCTCGAAATATGAATACCTACATAGTTTTCACTGGCCGGAAAATTTTTGAAACCTCGGAAAAATTATATTTGAAATTCACCGTAAAACTTACTTTTTTTTTAATTTGGCTGGAATAGTCTGTTGAAATCCCGAAAATTAACATTAATTTTATATATATATTTTATATATATATATATATATATATATTATATAATATATATTTTTCATTTTATATCAATGATGTAATAATACTTATATATTTTATAAATTAAATTTCAGGTAATTTTTTACACATTATATTATTTAATTCCTTATATTAATTATAATTGTTTGTATTTTTATAATTAACAATATTGATTTTTACTCTATTTGTTCTACAAATATGTAATTCAATATAGATCTAATCTGCGTTTACTGCTTTGATAAAATAAATCGATTTTTTCATCACTTGTCTTATCAATTTTTGCAATGTTGATTGAACTTTACTTTTTTTGTTTTCTTTACATACATTGGTTTGTAAAGTTGTGATTGTTGTTTTAAAGATGCGCCAAATACTTACTTTCTTTGTTTTTTACTTTCATTATATGCATTAAAAGTGTTTTTCTGCCTTCTTTTCTGCATTTCATGTTGGTTTTTCTTTTTGTTCTTTTTGTAGGTGACTTTTTGGACTTAATAAATGTTAATCCTCCCTAGATTTTGCAATCTTAGCATGCGTCAATAAGGTCGAATCACGCAAGCGCATCAGCCAAGGTGGACTTCAGTATTTAGATTGACACGAAAGAGCAAACTTGTATGAATAAATATTTTCTGAAAAAGCAATTATCTCCCAAGAAATCGATGCGGTTATAAACTGACATTAGGGTACCGTGTTGTATCTTACGTGAAAAGGAAATGTATCTAATTGTAAAAAACCTGTAAAGAGAAACCATGGTTGAGATCTTTCAATAACCGTCACAAATAAAGAAAATGTCAGAAAACTACACCACGTTATTCTAAAAGATCGAAGAACCTCTTTGGGTCAAATTTTGGAGGAAGCGCGCTTTACATTTCATGTAAATCATAGTAAAATCGTTTTCATCGTTCTTGGCGTGTGCGTGTAAAAACACTTGCAATAAGTTACTCGTTCATGTACCGATGATAACGAAAGCAAAGGTCCGTTGTTTTCTTTTTCTTTTTTAAAATGCTCCAATAAATGAACTACACATTGTGGCATTTCTCCTGTTATCGTTTTTCCCGGCATTTTTTTTTTATTAAATAGAACAATTAGTTATTTACAACAAAAAAATAATAAGTAAAACTGTTCGGAACAAATTCTAACAATGACTGACTAAAATCGACTAAAACAACATAAAATATCAATGGTAATTTCTACAATTATAAACATATTAGCCAGCTCATTCAAGAACAATGCCACAAGTCATTATTGCAATGAGTATCGGAAGAGAGAGAGTTAATTTATAATAAACTGGAATTTTTAAGGTGTCGAGAGTATTATTTTATGTAATAGAATTCCACACAGTAAGAGCTCAAACTATTAATAAATTAAAAACGGTTTACTTATAAAAACTATTTCACCAGCTACTTCAAACCTGCACAGATCAGGGTAACATGTTAAAAAAAACACGTCACTGCCAGCTTTCTGTATTCGTAAAGAGGCCGAACTTATGACCGACACCGTATCGGCCAAACGCATCGGTGTTATTGCTACAATACTGGGAAAAGTGAGTGGTCTCTTCATTCCCTTTCATCGCACTTTACCATGACGAACGTGACTCGCACAATTGAATTACGCATCTGTGTATCAGAGAGAGACGAATATTAAAAATTCCGTAGTAGCTTATTTCAGGCACACGCCAAGAACGATGAAAACGAGTATATTATATATTATTATTCGATCGGAAATAGGTGAAAATTTTAGGGGGCCTACCTTCAGCACTGAAAAAATGAAGTCTTATTAACGATAATGATGATAATGTTGTAAGCAATGTTTTAGCTAAAGATAAAATAAAAAGTAATAGCTATATTTTTCGACTTAACAAATTAAATTATTTTAATAAGAATTGTTATTAGAGTATATTTTATATCAAGTTGCAAACTATTAAAGCTTGTTTGTCATTAGTATTGTTGATAATATTTTTGTAAAAAGATCTCGAAATGAAAGTAAAACAGCAGCAATGTTATCTCATAAAAAAGCACTTTCCGTTTTTTGGAAAAATATGTACATACATTTACGCGAAAACATTTTGATGCAAATGTAGTTGATTACAGATGACTAACTTCCTTCTCAGTATCTAATGTAGGTAATATATCAGCAATATATTTTGAAAGCATGAATATGCAAAACTTGAAGAGGTTGTTATTTTTAGTTGATAGGACAATTCTTAGGAAAATGCGGATCCATTAGAGATTCAAAATGTAGTTATGAGCTCTAAATAATACCTGTAAGACGATTTTCATGTGAAATATAGTCCTTGTCAAGTATTGTTAGAATGTATTAGGAAAAGAAAA